GTGATGAAGCTGAACTGGTGGCTGCAAGTCAGGCTGTGGAAGGTGAGATACAGAGTTAATACACATCAAATGGTTTCGAAAAAATCAATATAAATAATACTACTTTGTTTGGTCTTATTTTTTAGACTTGCTCATGTTGCTTCCCACATACGGTCTGACGGGTGATGAAGTCAGACCGTATGTGGGAAGGGAAGGACCGACACCACTGTGTCATGGGCCCAGCGTCAACCACCACCTGTGCTACTGCCACCGCAGGTGAAAAAAAAACCCTGCCACCTCTACCATCACCAGACCTGTGGCCCTCCTCTCTGCACCTGCAGCAGCCCCCGAGATTGCCGGCCCCTCCACGTGGCCCGTAATACCTGCCAGTCCGACAACCTCCGGGATTGCTGCATCATCTACAGTGGTCCCTCCGACTCTGCCCAGTCCTCCATTCTGGGCGAGAGCAACACAGTATAAACGCAAAATGAGGGAACACCCCACAGAGGTAGGAGGCAAGCTGTCACCCGGGTGGCAGAAACTTCCCATTGTACCTCTGCAACAGCAAACACAGGGACATAAAAATGAAAGAAAAAGCTTTCTGCCCCTGTGAAAATAATGTCGACATCCCAAAACATCTACACAGCGAGTGTAACAGCAGCTACGAACATTTCCATGTCCTGGTTGTTGACAGTTTGGACAAATGAACTGTGAATATGCGCATTGTACATATTGTACATAAATAGTTTCCATACTCTTGATATACTGTAAATAGTTATTCATTTTTCATTCATTTTTATTCATTTAATTCTTTATCCTATTCAATTACATCTTTTAAGTTATCCAAACTGTAGTGTTTTGGTGTAGGTAGAGATTCTACTTGTCATTGGACAAATTGTAAATAATTAAAATTTTCATGTACATGTTCTTTTTATGGCATTGTATTTATTATCGTGTTCAGTGATACTTTGTTTACACTGTGGCGCTGTTTTTCTTCCTCCAAGTGTCCCTCATTTCATGCAATTTGTTCAGTAAAGTGTTCAGTAACAATGAGCTGTGGAATATCAATTATTGAATGCAAAATTGGGGGTTTATTTGTTTATAAACAAACAGGGACACATACACAGAGTGCCAGATTACATACATGTAAGGACACGTGCCTACAGCACCATGATAGATACTTTTGCACATTTAACAGCAGCAACATTAAATTAGCTTTATTCTGCCTCAGAAATATTTAACTACTTTTCATCAGCCTCCCAATAGTCATAAAATAATTCATTAAGATAGAAGTAAATGTAAATAAACAGCACTTAGAAAAGGAGATAAAGTATTTTCACAGAGGTCAGCTGTATTTCACTGAATATTAAAATGAATTCAGTGAATAACTTACATGAATTATGTAGTATTTGCTTATACAAATATACCTAATCTGGTGCTTGGAGCATCATTCAATGGCAGTGTCACAATAAATAGCTCATATAAATCTGATAAGGCCAATATCACACATATGGAATACATGACAACATTTGCTTTGAATGGGGGTGAGCTGTTTTGTAGACTCCTCCTGCAGTCTCCTTTATACTCCTTCAAACTCTCCAAGTGTGCCAGCCAAATGCAGTCACGTGACCCCAGGAGTGATAACCACCAGAGCTACAAAAAGGACAGAACAACAAGTGAGAATTAAACAAAGCTTTTACGTATATAACACACACACACACACACACTTAAGTAGGGATGTAATCAGTTTTAACAGTATAACATTTATTGAACATAAATCCAATAATGAAAGCTGTAAAGCCACATGAGTTATGTTTCATTAGATTCAAATTTTAGATATCAGAGTTGTCAGATTTCATCCATCAATCCATCCAAACAGATGCAGTATCGACACTTGCTCGGTAGATGGCGCTGCAGCATTCACAATCCTTGAAAATTCACATTTTAGAGTCATTACACTGCCGGGAGACGTCCGGTAGACGGCGCTCGTCCAATCGCCTTCTTCGTCCCCTCGCAGGTGAGTTCGCACCCTAGAAAGTGTTTTTGTAGCTTATTAAACTGACATGTTTACCAACTAACGTACTAATTAACTACCATGTACGCATTTGTTCGAGTACAATTTCTATTGTGAGTGAAGAAAACATTATTTTTTTAGGTAACGTTAATGGTCACACTTTATGGAAAAGGGTAACAAGCTAGCTAACGTTACCAGTAGTTTACTGGGGCACAAAAGTAGTATAAATTAACAAAAGTACCTTTTTAGTCCAAACTTTATCAGCCACTTGGTAGATTATGTTTGTTTTCGGCTGGTGAGTAAAACAAATCTACTATCCATTGGCACATGTTGCAGTATTTAACTCTGCCCTTCCCCCACCCAGCCGACAGTGTCACAGGTGTAGTTAACGCGGTTCTCCACCAGGTGGCGCCAGAGCTCACTGTGTGTGGTCATCACATAAACATCACTACACGTTTCTGGCGCTTGGCTTTATTTCGCAGATGTATTATGTATTATTATGTGTGTATTATCAGTGTCAGTAGCAGAGGCTGATACAGGCTGCTACCCGCTTCATTCCGATTTAATTCCGCTTCTTAGTGAAGTTGCAGACATTAATTTATACTGCAGTAATCGGAGAGATGGCTCGGTATGCCACTGGACATTGTGTCCTTGTAGTCGATAAATGTAACCAAAGCTGAAAACGGAACCCTCACTTGTTGTGCAACATTTATATGAAGTGAGACATACATATAACCCTTATAACATAGAGTTTATTGAGCGCAATTGTCTATATTTTGTTTTGCCAAAGTGAAATCCCGGAAGTAGCTTACTACGTGACGCGTGACACCCAAACAATGCCGCAAAGCATGATGGGGAAATTCCCGAATATAAACTCCTCAGATCTAACAAGGTGTTTAGTTTTTTAACGATGTTGTACGACTGGTGCCCGAGTGTAATACCACTTGATGGTCGTGTTGTGCCTAAAAGTATACAAGTGTTAATTTCCTCACACCGTCAGTGTAAGTGGTGTGTCTCTGAATCACCTCCCCCTGCCGACATGTACAACTCATACTTACCTGGGAGGAGATACCATGATCGAAGAAGGTGGTCACCCGAGGGGGCGAGAGGGCTGCACCAGCCGCGACACTTGACTCCCGGCCCGGTGTGGGACCCGCGGGCGGAATTCCGCGCGGAGACGCGCGCGAGCGCACTCCGACCGGCGCGCCATACAACCATTATCTGGGTAAGGCCGACCCGCGTTCGGCAGACATCAATCACCCCTTGATAAATGTGAAATCAACTTCCTCCATCTGGACAAAGCTGTAGCCCAGATCGCTGTGATAAAGATGTTGTCATTGTTTGGTTACAGTGTGTGCAATTGGCGTATTGTGTACACTTGGATGTGATTAAGTTTAAAACATGTAAAGTTCTGTGCTGCCTCTTCCCAAGTTCACTGAAAGTGATTAATATTGGGTTACAGGTCAGCATGTCTATTTAATGTGGTCAGTTCAATTAGGGCTGGTAATTATAAATATGATACATGTTGAACTGTCTTGTGCTTGTTGTGTTTTATGTGTTGTTCCAGTCTTTCACCACTTGGGGGAGACATTAACTGCACACTGTTCAGCCCGCTACAGTTGAGTTTTGACTGCTCAGTCACAAGGCTTTACCTACATGCTTTTTATGAATCCCGCTGCAATCATTTTTCAGGCCTGATTTCTCAAGGGACCTTTTTCAAACAATAGTGACTGTTTCCACGGAAGTGTTCAACGTCCGCTGTGTAACGACGGTGGCACCCGGAAGTGTTTTTGAACGGTGTGTACGTACATTGACATTGGTTTTGGCTGGTACTGAGGCCAGTTTGTTTGCCTTTTAACTGGGAACAATCTTATATAATCCTTTCCATTTCCTAGTACTAGACTCAACCCATCCAGTTCCTTGATAATACAGGACAGACAAAACTCAAGTGGAATCCAAAAACTTTATTTATTAAAAGAAAATAATTGCAGTCACAGTTTGCAACAACTCAACAGGAAACTAGACAAATAGTTTTTCATAATGACAAATATGTGGTGAGATACAAGTTAATGTTTTAGTGTCAGTACAACCTTTTCACAGTGTGCTATTTTCACCGTTCTTATTCTCCCTGATTAATTCAGGACCGTTGTGGTTGTATGCAGGTGTGATTAGATGCTTTATGCTTTATAATTACAACTTCAGTATTAGAGAATTAGAGAGAATACACGCCACGATAGTAAATGGTCCTCTGCTCAGTGTTTAAAGACGTGGAACTGGAAAGTTACAACATTGTTAAAATTCCAGTAACAGCCAATGTGTGGAATAATACCAACTAACAAAATTCCTTCGTACACCATGTTCATTTTTCTTCTGAACAATCAGTAATGCCGCTTAAGGACAAAAACATTAAGGTATGGGGATATATCAGTGTTGATAACAGTGTCACTTGTCTTCCAGGATGTGGAGCTGGTTGTTATTGTAATTGTCATATACAACTTCCTCCTTTCTGTGGTATACACTTTGCCGTTCCTTCCAGCCACTGCCTTTTCTTAGTCATCTCATACAACCCCCCACCCTGTTCTCCTCTTCCTTCATACCCTTGATCTAATGGTCTCCCTCTCCCCCTTCCTCCCACCTTCACCTCACACCCAGACCTTTCCCTTCCCACTACCATCGGCTCCATCTCGGCCACCGCAGCAGCCAGTGCCCAGGCCACGGTGCTGGGTGGCTGGCAGGTTCTTGTACACGGCTCGGCTGTACGGGATGAAGCACAGGCCCAGCTGGAGGTGTCGAGCCAGGCGGCAGTATGCCGCCAGCGCCAACACGAGTAAAGGGGTGACCAAGAGGAAGCCCACCACCAGCAGAGCCACACAGCCTCCATCAGTCAGCAGGTCTGAACAGTAGGGGGTCGTCCCATGAGGGCGGACCTGGAAGGAGGAGAAAGGCATCAGTTGGAATGATGTGGCGGAAGGATGTCGTAAGAAGTAAGTTCGACATTCAAACTGTGTCTAGTACATTTTTTTTTAACCCTTTATTTGAGCAGGGAAGCTTCACAGGCGCAGCAGCAAACTCTGGAAGCTGCCTTCCAGCGACGAGAAAAATTCCCCAGAGACAGCCCAAAAGCAACAAAGATAACAGACAAAATCCTGGAATTTATTGTCCTGAATGACCAACCATTGTGGCTGGCCAGGCCTTACCACAATGATAATCAGATCACAGTCATGCAGGCGTAGTATGATATTTAGTGTGCCTGCAAAGCACACTACTATTATTCCTCATACTTAATTTATTATACTTAAACTTCTTATTCTTCCGTACGTTTTTCGGCGCGCTACTCCTCCCGCAGTTTTGGTNNATGGTATCGGAACATCTCTAGTGATGTGTGAAGTAAGGCTTAGAGAAACTGCTCTTTGCTTTCAGGTTGGGGTCAAAGGTCAGGGACAGCTGTGGAGCAAATTGGCCGGCAACTGGTGAAGACTCTGTTGTCTTACTCAAAGACTCTTCAGCATTATACAGTAGATGATGATGTAACACTGACACCATCCCCCCTAGATCTGCTGCATTCACATTATAAATTAAAATTGTCCATGTCAAGCAGAGTTTTTAAAGT